ACATGCAGACACAAAGTGACTGAATACAGGCAAATCTGACACTGGACAGGGCGGGGTGGAGGGAATCCTTTCAAATATTTTGAATAGCTTGGACGCATTAAATACATTTGAGAGTTGCTTTTGTGTGGGTATATACAATTTCTTTTAAAACACTCCAGATAAACCAGATGTTGAGCTCAATTAAGTTGCTCCGAAGGGTGACTTCTTTGAAAAGGACCCTAGAAATGCGAGATGGATTTATTTTACACCGTATGCCATTTGAGTGGTACTTTGGAAAGCGCGGGGGGGGGGGAATCAACCCCCCAACTTGTTTTGAGCCCCCCAAAGCCAAGCATAAAATTATTGACATTTTCTCACTGCGAGCACATTTTACAACTACTCCACTTGTTATATGTAGCAGATGGTGTTCAAACAAATCAAGAAGAAGTGAGGGTGGGGGGTGAAACCAGCAAAGAAACTCATATATTTCTTCAGATGATAAGATGAACTGCAGATGGTGAAGCGCAGCAAAGAAGCATGCGATACAAGAAGCCACAGCTTAAAGAAGTGTCCACTTGTTTTCAAGATTGGACAACTCCAGTAGCTGCCTGTCGCTACATGATTGATGAAGGTTATTTTCAATATGTTATGATACCAGGGAAACCGCAATTAAAGCCAAGCAAACTCTAATCACTTGCTTGCACTAATTGGGAATTATTGAAACTGCTCACTAAAGCCTGCCACCTATCTGTTGTCCATCTTGCACGTTAAACTTTTCCAGCAGGAACAGAAATATTTTGGGGCGGCATCAATCTTTCAGAGTCGAGACCAATGTGCTGTCATGCTTTCTCATTTGACCCACATGGCTCTTAGCAGTGCTGGTTAAGAGCACTGTTTTATCTGACACCTGCAGTCAAATTAATCCCAAGTTAAGCTTGACGACGTCGCTAAAAGAAAAAGAAAACAATCTACAGTTCCCTGCTGAAAAGCTTCAAGTCACAGACAAAGCAGCTGGGTTGATAAGTGCTAAGCAACAACAACAACAAAAAAATCATTACGGCGCATTTAAAAATGAAATTCAAGAATATACTTGATAACCTATAATTAGTATGGTTTATTTGGAGAAAGTTGCACCCTGATGTGTCAAGTATTCTGCTGGGTTTTTTTTTACCACCCCACAATCAACCAAGAACCAGATTTTTAGGACAGGTTGTAACTTGGCTGTAAATATTTACTCTGTACTGACGCTTAGTATACAAGGTTACAGCCTGGAAGCGAATATTTCTTTCAGTTATATGGACTTTCCCATTAGTAACTTATTCAGCAGCCTGACTCCTCCCCTCACAACAGCTGATCTTATCTATAAACATGGATAGCATCGAAAATGGAAGAGCTTAGAGAATAACAAGCCCCATCAAAGGATGCACTGAGCTAGCAATTAATTGAGGATTAGTGGAAACATCGCTTGCCCCAGTTGTAGGATGTGATCCTCAGTGATGCTGGTGCTGGGCCACGTGCCCAGGTGAGCGATATCTAAGAGGAACAGTTGAAGCTATGTTTAAAAGAGACAACAATGTAATTAGCACCATTACATTTTCTCATACCTACTGCTACTTGCGGTGTTGCAACCATGCATATCAGTGTTACTCCTACTCCTCATATTAAAGTGTCAGGTTGCCATTAGAACAGCATCCAAACAGATAAATGACTATTTAAAAAATAATTATGTTGCTATTGTTACAATCTCCCCACATCTCCAAGCTGTGAGAAATGTTTCCTTTGGAAGGTGGTCACTAGACATTTATCTGGTGTTTAGTAATATTTGAGTCTCTCTCTCTCTCTCTCTCTCTCTCTCTCTCTCTCTCTCTGTATATATAGGACTCCCCCTCAATCTGCCCTGTGGCCCTAATTAGTGGCCCCCAGAACAGGCTGATTCCCTCTGTGCCACCTTGGGAGCTACCCTCTCCACCCCAAATCCCCAAATTTGGGAGGAGGAGCTAAAGGTAGTTTTAAAAGTTGTTGTTCTTGTTGTTGTTTTAAAAAAGGTTGAGGGTACATGGCACCATGCAGGATTGGAAGTCTAATAAACAGGTAGCTCTGATCCTGCATGTTGATGGCTGCTGCAGCTTCTTTTGCCTGTCGGACACTCACTTTCAAGGCAGCACCTGCACCTCACAAGATTGATGCCTCCCCTCAACAGCGTTCAGGTAGGTCTCTGCCATTTTTTGTCTGCCACTCACCTCTCCTTCTTGTCTGATGCCTTGCCCCCACCTCCCAACAGCCACAGATCACTCTGGGCCAACCCAACCAATAGCGATCCATGGCTGTGCGTACCCAGCTTGACTGAGGTCATCTGAATATGCCTGGTTTGACTTGGGCTTTGGGTGAATCTGATGCACAGCCCAAATATCTATCTATCATCTATCTATCTATCTCTCTATCTCTCTATCTCTCTATCTCTCTATCTCTATCTATCTATCTATATCTATCTATCTATCTATCTATCATCTATCTATCATCATCTATCTATCTGTCTCTACAGTGGTGCCCCGCAAGACGAATGCCTCGCAAGACGGAAAACCCGCTAGACGAAAGGGTTTTCCATTTTTGAGTTGCTTCGCAGGACGAATTTCCCTATGGGCTTGCTTCGCAAGACGAAAATGTCTTGCGAGTCTTGAGATTTTTTTTCGCTCCCCCCCCCTTTTTCTAAGCCGCTAAGCCGCTAATAGACTTTTAGCAGCTAAGCTGCTAAGTCGATAAGCCTTTAATAGCCGCTAAACCGCTAATAGCGCTAATCCACTAAGCCGCTAATAGGGTTGCTTCGCAAGACGAAAAAACCGCTAGACGAAGACACTTGCAGAACGGATTAATTTCGTCTTGCGAGGCACCACTGTATCTATATCTATCTATCATCATCTAAATATGTACCGTATTTTTTGTCCTATAGGGCGCACCGGCCCATAGGACGCATCTTGTTTTTTTGGGGGGAGGAAATGAATAAGAAAAAAAATATTTCTTCCCCCCAGCCGCGGCTGCCGCCCCAAGCCTCGCGCGCCCGGCGGGACCTCACGCTGGGCACGCAAGGCTTGCAGACACCCGCCCGAAGCACGGGGCGCCCTCCCGAGGGCTCCCCGTGCTTTGGGCTGCAGGCTGCTGCCCGCAAGCCTTGTGAGCCCGCGGGAACTCCCGCCGGGCTTGCAAGGCTTGCGGATAGCTTCCTGAAGCCTGGAGAGTGAGAGGGGTCGGTGCGCACCGATGCCTCTCGCTCTCCAGGCTTCAGCGAAAGCCTGCATTCGCCCCATAGGACGCACACACATTTCCCCTTCATTTTTGCAGGGGAAAAAGTGCGTCCTATGGGGTGAAAAATACGGTATATATTAAACACTCAAAGCCGCTGTGCTACATCAAATCTCCAGAGAGAGAGAGCCAGTGGCAGCCCCATGTAATTTAATGATGTGATTAATATTTTAATATGCAGGTGCAGTGCATTTTAAGATAATTTGATGGATTTACCAATTCCATGACCATTCCAGCAAAATGGGGACAGTTGAGGGTGTATTCACCCTGGAACTTTACTGTTGTGCCAACTGTTATGTCAGCTTTTGGGTTCCCACACTATCAGCTTGGCTCCGAAGTTTCAATTTTGCCTGAATATGTTAGCCTGCCAGGTCTAATAAGTTAGGACAGAATTCATTTGCAGGTCCTTTCTATGCTAATGGAATGCAAAAGAGCATGCCTTAGCTGGTCTGGGACTCGCTAAAGCCTAATTCCCTTTGCTTCCTATCAAGACAATACTGTGTCACTGGTCAGTTGAGAACCCTGAGTTTTTGTGTTGTTTTCCAGTTATTACCAAAGCACGCATACCAAAGCCACTTTCATTTTTTAAGTATACATACTTTATATAAATTCACCAAATGAATACAAATACATTTCACCTTATATCAATTAAAAGTGCTTCTGATAAAAAAACTTAAGCTAAACCCACCAGCCAATCAACAATTCATCTATTAATTATATAAACACACAATAAGTATAATCTACTATACATTGAAGATAATCCAATAAACTCTCATTCCTATTTCCAGTACCTTTCAGTAGTATTATATGATAAATACAGTGGTACCTCGGCTTAAGAACTTAATTCGTTCTGGAGGTCTGTTCTTAACCTAAGGTACCACTTTAGCTAATGGGGCCTTCCACTGCTGTCGCCGCTGCTGCCGCCGCCGTGCAATTTCTGTTCTCATCTGAAGCAAAGTTCTTAACCTGAGGTACTATTCCTGGGTTAGCGGAGTCTGTAACCTGAAACGTCTGTAACCCGAGGTACCACTATAATGTAAAATGTAAAACAATTAAAGCTGGCCTGGTAGTTTAAAGTAATGGAAAAACATTTCCACAGTCCATATTTCTGCTCCCGTTCCTATAGCCTCCAAAAGGCTGCCATTCCTTGACCTTGTTCAGAACTGTCAGATCCCAAAGACTGCTATACTAATTGATTCCAATGTTTAGCATGTCATCGAAGACTAGAATTGGTTTTAGATCCCTGAACCTGGTGGAGTCTCCTTCTTTGGAGGTCTTTAAGCAGAGGCTTGACAACCATATGTCAGGAGTGCTCTGACTGTGTTTCCTGCTTGGCAGGGGGTTGGACTCGATGGCCCTTGTGGTCTCTTCCAACTCTATGATTCTATGATAACCTACTCATGATTTCTGGGAAAAGGTCTTGGATAAACTGAGCTTGACTGATCCATATGAGTCCTTTGTGTCCATCTCCTCACTAGGATTGGCTAGATTGCTCTTAATTTGGTCTGTTTTCCTATTGAACATGACTGAGAGGCAAGTCTGTTCTGTCCCATTGTCAAGTATTTGTCTGGATGAGGTCTACCATCCTTTTCTAAATTACCCAGGAAAGGACACATTGTCACAAATATACTGATACTTCTAGGAGGTGCCGTGCTTTGTGACTGCTCTGAGTTGCTATACATATGCCCCCACACCACCTTGTAAATGTTTATTCAGTGATGGCCCTCCAAATTTTGCTGAAATGCAACTCTCATCAACCCCAGCTAGCAAGGACAACCGTCAGGGATGATGGGAATTGCAGTTCAGCAACACCTAGAGGGTCACAGTAGGGCCACCCCTACTGTAAGTAGCTGAAGCATGCAACAGAAAATTTGTAGAACTTAATTTCCTTATCTACACTTTGAGGCAGAGATGTGAATCAGATAGGTTTGCTCCAAAGTGAGCAGCAAATTAAAATCTCCACCTATCTAGTGATGCCTGCCTGGCAAAGGTGTTCCGTGGCTATGAATAATCTGCTCTTCTTGTTCTCTTTTGGGATTTACTGTAATGTTAAGGGTCCTTGCTCCCTGTTTCTTGGGTGTCTTTTCTGATACCTCATAAGGAATGAAAACTATGACTTATTCTCTCTTGCCAGCACTCCACTACCTAAAGCATCTACAGTATATTGGTAAACATGCTAGGTTTGGGGCTACCAGCTCCAGACTGACCATAGCCTGCCCTTCAACAGAATAAAGCAATTCCTGCAGAGAGGAGAGGTCTTCCCAGTGCCAGAGCTTAATTCCAGCATTATTCAGAAGGGCTTATACAGTGAACATGGCAAATAACTGTCAGGTTGAGAAAGGCTTACTGGCTGAACATGGGCAAGTAAGTGTCAAATGTATTCAGAGATGCTTGTCCCAAGCCAACATGGCAAAACGTGATTGGCTCTGCCCATGGATATGCCCCTATTGCTGTAAGATTCATGCACAAGAAGAATAGGATTCATGCTAAACTATTTCAGGAGATCCAACCATAGTTCAGTGCTCTTTGCTCAAGAGATGTTTGAAAGTGATAATGTGGACAGGTTAGGAAAACAATGTAACTTCTTCTTTGCCTTCCAAGAAAGAAAAGTATTGGGTAAAGTGTCCTTTAAACAGGCAGCTTCCTCCCGATTTCATTTCTTTGAAAAAGTTAGTATGGGACAGTCACGGTTATACACAGTTTTAATATGGGACTGAATGTCTGCTGTTTGAAAATATAACTACATGGCGCTGACTCTATACATTATGAATTCATGTTGACTCTTGCCCATGATCTAATTCTATGTGGATCTCACTTTTAACTGGGAAAAAAGACATTACAATGGATCAAACGTAAATGATTGAGTACGCCCTTTCTTAGTTCATATCATCCAATATAAGAGCTGCACATTTTATATGGATCTGATATATGCAAACATCTGCCAAATTCTGACTTTTACAACCCCTACCTTATAATTAATTGCAATTATTCAGACATAATAATCCATGGGAGTTTTGCCACTGAGTAGATAAACTAAGGACTGTTTGCACTCACAGCCACCCAGGGTGGTTGGTTGCAAAATCTGAGTGCTGGGTGGTTGATTGGACTGGACATGACAGTTGTAGTCACTGATGTTTTGATCTTGGGTCAAGGAAATATGGAAAGGGTGTGTGGTTTAGTCATAAGTAATTCTGAGAAAGGGAAGGCTTACTTAATATAAGAAGAGACATCATGCAATCACTAACTAGCATCCTGATTCCCACGGTACTCCTCTCAATATATTCTAAAACAAAATTTGATTTTCTCTAATATCCAACTATTCATTAATAGTTATCAGACTGACCCTTGGGGTCCCTTCCATGATTCTGTTCCCCAGTGTCTGGTTATACAAATTCTATTCCAAATATCCAACTATTCTATTCTATATTATGTTTTCCCTATATTCTAGTCTATTCCTAATGTCTGACTGTTCTAAATATACAGCTATTCCCTTAACAGACCAACTTCTTTGACACACACTCAGTTCCCTCTAAGATCCTTGGCAACTGTACCAGTTGAGAGGTTCACACTTAAACTCTCTTAAAACTAAATCTCTAGCACATATTCTTCCTTTACAGCTGCAGCCCAATAGAGCAGAACATAGCAGGTGTGTATGTCATTGTTTTAACCTTGCATAATCTCCATAGTACCACTTCCCTTTCACCTGTATCTCATCCAGCTCACTCCCTTTGTTGTCCATTGGTTTCGGTTAAGTTGGTCTTACCATTTTGTGTTGTTGTAAATCTTGTGTTGTGTAAATCTTGCGCCATTCTGTCCATCTGGTATCAATATCATGCAATAGTTCTGGAGTAGTGACAACTTTTTTTAACCTGTAGTGGTACAACTTTTACTTTCTTTTTTCGTCTATTTTTGCAGGAAGGTAAGGCATGTTTTTCTGAAACAACACTGTTCAGGAGAATAGGTATCCTTGTTTTAATCTTTTTATTAAATTGTAGTTTTGCAGGGGGAAGTCCTTGTTTCATAGGAACCAAGTAGCTACTAATTTCATGGTGCAAAACAATGATCACCACCAAACTCCAATGCTTTCTTTTATAACCTCTTCATTATTTGAAGCCCATTAGGTTGTGGGTATCTTGAAGTAGAATTTTTGTGACCAAGTTTATTTTTGTCAGCAAAATTCTGAAAATCATGCTATTGGCCCTCTCTGTTTCAAGATTCCTATGGCATGTTGATGTTATGCAAGAGTTCACATAACAGCATACAGTGTTTTCAAAGAGGGCATTTTCAGGGTTGTGACTTAAGTTAGCCATGCCCATTAATTGTAATTGGTCTACTCTGACTATGACAAACATTGGATGGAATCAGAGCTTATTCTATGTCAGCTTTCACAGTGGCCAATATAATACATCCTGTGCTTTTCTTTCACAAGGCCTGTATCTTCAAGCCCTTCATGCATGCTTGTATCAGTCTTTTCAGTAATGCTTCGGGCACAACCAATCCTGTGCCTTTCAACAAGTGCCATATAGTACAGATAATTCTTCTTCTTCTTGGCTATTAGGGCTGGGTATGTGAATCCCAGACCAGCAGATGGTTTTCATGACCTTTGGCTATATATGATCTTCATTTGTAGCTCCTGCAAAGATTGGCAACATTTTATCTGAGACAGGAAATTGTTATTTTTAAATAAGTTTGACATGGATGTGACAATTCTCTCTGTGACTTCACATTTTGTACTGTCCAAAGGCTCTGGATATTACACGGCTATCAACAGATCCTTCAAAGGATTGCATGCTATGGTTATGTAGCTACCTTGGAAGAGCAGTCTTTGTGACCAAGGAAATGTCTCCTCTTCTTCTTCTTCTTCTTCTTCTTCTTCTTCTTCTTCTTCTTCCTATTGAAATCAATGGCATATGATCGGTTTAAGGCAAGTGTTACACACAATAATATAGGAAATCTGTGCCTGAACATTGTGATTCCACCATGGCTTTGAACTGTAATAGGCGAGTTTAGGATTGCAGCCTAAGAGTTCTAACTTTTATGACGAACATTCACAAGTTACCTTTCCAGGACTCTGACTCTGCAGTCATGGTTGGTTTTGAAAATGAACATTTTCCACAGAAGAGCCACAAATACAAATAAGTAATTTCCCTGCCTTTGATATCATCTCGGGTAATGCTGCCATTAATAAACATTGTTCCAACAATGTTGCTGGTGATTCTTTCTTGCTTTCTGCATCTTGTTGAAGAGCGTGGCCATTGAGCCCAGCTAGTTTGCCTACTGCAAATGATTGTTGAATGAAAGAGAACTTCCTAGTTAACATTTTGCAACAATGTATTAAGTTACTTTCAATTAAAGTTTTCTATATGCGTGGAAAATGTGTAATGAATAAATCAGTAAAGACCACATAATGAAAGCCTATTAGCAGGGTGAATATATTCTTGTAACTCAAATTTCTATACCACTTTGCTATTATCTCCCATCAGAAGAGAAAGTACAATTACCAATTTTTATCTTATCTTGGACTTATTATTAAAGAGTAGTAAAGGAAACTTCATTCCAGAAGCTGTAATATGATTTTTGATTAATAGTGGGATTTTTATGTGACAAGAATATTTCTCTTAGGCAAAGTATGCACATGTATTTTTGCCTGAACTGACTTGTTTCTGGCAGGGCTTTTCACTGACAGTAAGAAGTTGTGTTATTGTATAAGTCGATGCGCTGGTGTATTTGTATACATAGAGCAGATTATATCTCTAATACATCTTGTACTATAATATGCTGTCGAGTTATAGAATGCAGCAGATTCTAATCAATGTAAACTCATCAAAAAAACAAACTCTGCTAAAAACCAACTACGGTAGCTGTTCGTCCCACCTTCTAAATCGGTTTAAAAGGTGCCCCCCCCAAACCCTCCATCTTTGCTTGAAATTTTCCAAAGAAGTTCATATTGTTAAAGGTGTATAGGTATGAGAAATATATTACTTTTATTGGGAACTAGGGTGTGTGTGTGTGTGTGTGTGTGTAGGGCTGGCATATGTCATTTCCCTAAACCCTTTTAAAATATGGGATTTTAGCCTTTAAAATGCTTCCTCAATTGGCAAGGAAAACACTCTCTGACAATTCTGTATTTTGCCAACTCATGCTGCAATCAAACTTATTAAAAAACACAAAAACAATAAATATAAGTCGAATAAACGTGAACAATTAGGGTCCTGCCCAAGGTGGCTATTTTATGTCACAGTTTCCAATGCCTTAGCAATAATTTACTGTTAAGGAGAGGAGAAGCACCTCTTGTGTTTATCAACACTCCATATGGAGCAAAACTCAGTTTGCTCTTGAGCAGCCTGAAGCTACAATGGTGTACACCATCAGGAAAGAAGCTCAACAGTCCCAAATCAACTAAATTCAGTCCAGTATCCAGGATTTGTCTGAAGCTGGTGCACTGCTCAAGATCAGTCACCAATTCTACATGCACATATATATTGTAACTTTTCTTTGCAAAATACATAGAAGCAGAGGCCCAAATTTTTCTTGATCACTGTTGTGCATTTTGCAGAGGAAAGACCAGCAAAATTTCTATCCTAATTTAACCCATGAGTTGAATAGGGTTCACTCTCAGGTAACTGGGATAGGACTGAAACTATACAGGCATCATTCCACAATGACAGGAAACATTCTGATTTTCTACTTGGCTAGGAGTAAGGTAAAGGTGAAGGGACCCCTGACCATTAGGTCCAGTCGTGGCCGGCTCTGGGGTTGCAGCACTCATCTCACTTTATTGGCCGAGGGAGCCGGCGTACAGCTTCCAGGTCATGCGA